TCAACCTTTTTGTGGGAATCTATTTTTTTTTTCTACAAACTTTCCAAAAAACCAAAAAAATTTCAGGCTATGATCATTAATGTCGATCCCATAGGAAGGCATATTGTGGGTACGGGTGGTTTTATAAGATAGAGACTTGCCAGAAAGGCATAAATGCTATACGGAAAAATGATGTTGGAAGACACCACACGCTCCAAGAAGAGAAAGAACTGAGAGATCCGGTGAAAACTAATAGAGTTTGAAGTAGGAATGAAAAGAAAAAAAAGAAATCTGAGTAAATGCAGATATTCATAGATAAAATATAATATGAATTTTAAATAGATAGTGAAATAAGTACTATTTAATAATAGAGTGAACACAAATAATAAGGTATGTTTATCCACGAGTACTCACACTTAAAAAATATTATTAATATGTCATAATTATTTATTTTAGTATAAATATATATTACAATTTTTCTTCATATAAATATATTTTTTAAAATTATTTAATTTTAGTTTTATTTAATTTTATTTATTTAAAATGTTATATTTTCTCAAATATTCACGAGTACCTATTAATACCGATGAATATATAAAAGTTCATAAATATTCACTAACTAGATATGACATTAAGCGGAGTAGGTGAGGGGAAGCTACTATCCATCCTACCCTTTGCTATTTTTAGTTCGATGGAGTCAACTTTTTTTTTTTTTTAATCAGTATCTCTAGTTTCTAGAGACTGATCTCACTAATTGTATTGTGATTATTGTTGACTCAATAGATTTTTACACACAATAATAAGGATAAAATACTATAAGAGAACGACAATTTAAAGCTATAACCAAAAACCAACCTTAAATAAAATAAATTGACTCTAAGAGCATCTCCACCACATAGTTGTCGGGAGTGGTTCCTTATTTACTTTCTGGTGGATTCAATTTGCTACGTATACTTGCAAGTACTTTATTAGTAAATTACTCCAATGGTGATAACATAATTTCTTATTCTTTTTTTATTATTACGAATATCTTAAGTAGCGGTGTTTATATAAGCAATTATACTTAGATAAGTAATGTCACATCTTTTACTCTAACGGTGAACTGAATGAAATCTCGTTTTTTAACTTTAAGAAACTTGAATAAGTAGCCGCGTTAGAGATATTCTAACATAAATTTAACATTTGACTTACATTGACACCACAACGAATAACATTAAAATAGTTGACATTAACTGCATTGCATTGGTTTTTCGAGACTATACCAGTTAGATTCAACTTTTTCGACAATAAAATTGTGTCAAAAACTATTTTCAAAATTTATTTTCATTCTTATATTATCGACTATGTTAACCTTATTTTTATAATTGTTCGAATATAAAATTTCTTAAAAAATTATTTCCATAACATATTATTTTACTTCTACATTAATATCTTAATATTTTGTCTTAAGCTAATTTAATTTAAAAAAATAAAATAAAACCGGACAAAGATTTGTTAATGTGGCATATGAGTAGATGAGTAAATGGATTTTAATCCCTAAATTAAACTTTCAAATTCTGAGTCAATATATATAGTGGTGGGGTTGGTCTACTCAACAAACGGGTAGGATATTGATGGTCAATAAATGCTTTATTTTATAGTGCACTGTTTGAATTCATCATCTATTAGAAGCATTCTTCACAGTCAGGAAGGAATTAGTAACCCACATGGGCATCAACTGACACTGGACAGTGGGTTAACTCTGAGAAGATTATTCTTCCAGAGTATGAAAATAGATTGTATTTGTTAAGCATAAGTCTTTTAATTTCGTTGGTTCTTTTCTCATTTGTTCTTTCAATGTGAACAACGAAATACATTATTATACAGTTGTTTATATACTCGTTCCACCACTTTGGTGACACAAAAGAATCATGATATACTTAAGAATTTACTTGTGCTTTTACACAGAAGGTCACTGTAGAAAAGACAAAACCTGACTAGCTCTAGATATACTCAAATTACCAACCATTAAATAAGGTGAAGCTTTTAAATTACAGCAACAGTGAAACATGTGGATAACTGCAATTGATAAACAATTGCAGTCAGAATATACTTACCGCTGAAATTTAATATTATTACCTGGCTACAATCAGGTTTAATAATTTGCAATTTAACATTATGAATAGCATACCGCTAACTTAAAAAAAAAAGTTTTTATTATATGTATTGTTACGTGAGGGAAAAAAAAACTTTTCAATTATATATATATATATATATATATATATATATATT